AATTATGTTAGATTTTTCGTTTTCAGGTATATTGATAAGAGAAGGGATTCACATGAATGTGTTGTTTAATAGTAATAATTAGCAATTGATAGCAGTTCTTGAACGTGTCACGTAAGTTCGTTTTTTGATTTTGAATATGAGTTTGTTATTGATTTTAAGGAGCTTGGAGTTACTAATGATAATGAAGAAATCTGAATTTAAAAAACAAGTGATTTTTAGAGCTTCATAGATGACGTATGTCGATTAAATTATTTATCACACTATAAATACTGTAAGATAAGAAAAAAAAATGTAATACTTTTGTAAGTTTTACATTATCATTCCAGATATTTGTAGTTGTTGAACATTTAATATTATATTTATTAATTAAGATGGATATCAATGGTTTTGGGTGATATTATCGAATTATGTGATTTATTGGAATATTAGATATAATACGATTGAATCTCAACAGGATCTTGTTATGGGGTTTTTACTGAGATTTAAAAATTGGTCTTTAAAAGTAATTATACATTATAAAAATTCCAGAAATTATAATTTGAATTAATTTATTATATGTAAATACAAATTAAAGTGAAAGTACATATTAAAATACTCTATTTAGAGATAGGATTTCTTAGTGTAAATTTTATTAGAAAGTTATTCAAAATCTTTTCTTTTTTTTTATTGTATCATGCTCTGTAATTTATTAGCTTCCGTATGGTTATCATACATTCTTATTAGACATAAATTTGTAGAAAGTTATTTAAAAATACATTTTAATTCACAAGTTAGTAGATTTGTGAAGAAAATGTTGAAAGCTTAAGTTAGATATTCGATATATTTTTCAATGCTGAGAAGTGCTATGTTCTTATTGAAATGTAAAGATAATGTAACAGAATGAAATTACTGAAATAAAATAGTTTTAAAATATGGTAATAAATTTAAATTTTAAAAATTAAAATATGGAAAAATAAGTAATCGATCTAATGTATAGTAGGTGCGAATATATTTCGTTATTGAATAATTTACTGTTATATTTAAATTCAATATTACGTAAATAAATGTATACAAAAATTGATTTTAAGCGAAGACAGAAAGTCAGTCTGTATTATTAAGTATGTATATTTTGTGATATATTTATATATTTATTTAAGTGATTTATTTTAAGATTAATAATACAGTAGGTTCAATTAATTTTTACCGGAAATATTATATTTTAAAATTGCATTATTTGTAAAAAATATAATAATATAAGTTAAAAGTTTTAATTACTTTTCACAAAATTTTTTTAAACTACAACAAAAAACTAAAATAGTTATTATTTGTTTAAATCATTTATTGAAAATTTTGACATAATAATGTAATGAAAATATCAAGTATAAACGATTATTTGTTTTTAAATTACAATTTAAAAGATAAAATCAATTTTTTCAAAAACTGGTTTTGAGTAAACATTTTTATTTTCTTAATTTTTTTTTTCCTTAGTCATTATAAAAAGTACATTGATTTTTTATCTTCAACCCATAATATTTGAAACTTCCTTTAAAATTGAAAATCGAAGCATTTTTACTACCGTCTCAAAAAACGAAAATAAATATAAAAATAGATTTTAGAATAAATTTATTTATAACCTTGTTAATGTTTAAAATTACATTTTTATTTACTTAATAGAATAAAAAGACAAATGATAAAAATAGTGTAATCATAGTCACTGTGTTTTCATATTATGATACATATACGCCGTCTGTAAAATTGCACGAAAACTGTATATTGCGTGCATAAATATTTTTAGTTGACTTTAGGCTCATTCTCAAAGCTCAAGGGGAATAGTGGTGTGGGGAATTCAAACCCATCCATTTACTTATTTCGCATTTAGGTCATTAACAGATTTTATCGAATTAAAAGGAATATTAGTTCTGTAAGACTCCTAAAGAATATTGATATTGTGTGATCGTTAAACTATAATTAATAAACTGTTTTCATATTGTTAGAAAATTAATAAACTATAATACTTCTTTATATTCGTTTTTTTTTCATAATCCTCTCCATGAATAAATTCTGCATACGGGTCTGAGTTGACTTATAATTTAAATATTATGTACTTATTCCTCAATGATGAGGTACATTGGACACCTACTGTACGGAAGAGAGGTTACCTACTTCTCCCTCCCTTTATTTTATGATCAATGAATTAAAATATTGAAAATTTTTCTTCAAAATATGTTACTGTGTCGAATCAACACTAACGCGATTCACTTGTTAATGGTAATCTCACCAAATTCCATTGAATATTTACAAAATACCGGTTTATCGAGAACTGTTTTATTGTTGATTACGTTCTGTAGAGATTAGTATCATAGACGAAATAAGTTGTCTGTATTCGCTATATATCGGCCATAACTGTATATTTTTTTGAGAAAACTCGACTTAAAAGAATAGAGACCTAAATTGTGGTTATATAACTATGATGGATGCTCAAGTTTTATGACTCCATTGAGCATTGGAATAAACTATTAAAATACTATTTATATAGATAGTAAATATACTTTGTTGGATTGACGTCGATAAATGCATAGTAAGTATCTACATGTGTTGCAATGTAACGGTTTTTTCTTTCTATATTTTTCGTCTAAATCGACAGTCTCGGAGGCACTAACGACTAACCAATGAAAATCGAATACAATATGCTAACACGATGTATCAGTTACATTACATAAACTAGCGCTTATGCATACGTTTTTCGGCCAAAAATAAATTTATAATATATTTATAAAAGATTCTATAAGTTATAATCTATGTATAACTGTTAAATTACTATTAAAAAAAAAAAAAAAAATTCATTTTAACTATAAATACTAAATACTTACGATGTTGAACAATCTAATTTCAAATATCAACATTGTTGATTTTTTTTCCAGAAATTATTAATTATGCCAAGTATTGTATCAACAAATATCGATTTTAATAATCATTAAACATTTTTTTTTTCATATTTTATAATTTTGTAAACTCAGTAAAAGTGAAATTTTTTTTCAAATGTATTTATTCAACTTTATAAAACATGATTACCTACATTATGTTAGAAATAGGTTAATAATAGTACTCCTCTATAAACTTATGCTATATGACATAAAATTAACTCATTATCGAAAACTTTTCATACTTAATCGTGTCCTGTTTACCTACGATTCGACAGACGCTTGTTCTCTTTCTCTAAGACTTAAGAGTTTCGCTACCTATTTTCTTCTAACTACTATTTCATATTTCAAGGCCTCCCACTGGTTTGGTGCAATTATAAGATTTGTAATAAATAATAATACATGGATTTAAAAAAAAAAAAAAATTCTAGATTATTTATGATATTTTACCACTGTAATTAATATATTATTTTAATTATAAATTTGTTTGTACGTTTTCTAAATTCCACGCAGCTCACTCACTATATTCACTATAGTTACAGAATTCATATAAAGTACAAACACAGTTTAATGGATTTATCTACTTACAATAATAATGCAAATATGTTATTCTTGGAAATTTAAATTTATCAGATGCATCTTTCGGTTCTGATTGTTCAAGTTTCATTTACGCAGTAGTTCAACTAAGATTCTGAAGCATTGATTAAAAAGAATTTTTAGGTTCTAAAAATAAATGCCTAAAAATTTATAGATATATTTAATGATATTAACAAATAATCTTCTTTTGTGTACACTACATTTTCTAAAATTTTATCTTGAAAGCATTGTTTTTCTAATATTTTATTTGTACCTATGTATTTGATAAACTTAATAATATTTAATAAAATTTATAAATATTTGATATTTTTTAGTGGTAGGTAGTCAATAGTAGTTTTATATTTTAAAATATCTATACGCTTTATTATTTTAATGACGCAGTAGAAAGCATGATACTTTTGCCTTTTGGTCTCTCTGAGCTTGGCGCCTTTTTTAAATCCTGTGTTTGGGTGTTAAGCATCGCGCTTAGCTCGAGTTGTTGTACTAATTTACATATAGAGGTAAAACAAGTAGTATTTATAGTATTATAATGTGATTTGTGATGCTTTTCCAAATTATAGTTATTCACAGCTTAATTATTAGACCCCGAATTATAATGATACTATATTATATTTAATCTTCTCTAATATTTTTTAACATATAAGTAATATATCTGTTGTGTTTGAGTCGTTTTACAATCCTAAGTTCGATAATTTAAAATCTTTAAACTTTAAAAGTGTGAAATTTGAGATAATATCTAAAGAAATTAACAAAGCTAATTGGAATCCAGTTTAAGAGTCAAGATAGTTCAATATTGCTGTACATACATTTAATTATATATGTTTATATATAATATATTTAAGATAACTAATTAAATTAATTTGTGTCGGTCAATGAGGATCATTGTTCGGGAGCTCTAGATCGCAAATACTAAACTACTGAATTTTTTAATTGTTATTATTTTAGTCAAAGATCAAGTAGATGCTTTTTTATACTATACTCTATACAGAAATTAAAAAAAGCTTTTGATTTCTTGAAGAATGTGAATTATTATATATAAATTTATAAAATTAATTTATCTGATAACGATGAGCCATTAATAATACTGTTTTAGACCTACTTATTTGATGATAAACTGTTTATGGAAATGTTTATGAGAGATGGTCTAACAGGAAACTAAGCTCATCCATAATACAACTAAATAGTAAATACTAATAAATAACAACGATAATAACAATGACAATAATAATAATAATAATAATAATAATAGCACGAACATAGTCGAAGTATTAACTATGATTTAATGTAATATCCAATATCATGATCAATTTGAAGTCAAATAATCGTTTAAAAAATAATGGTTTTCATTCGAGTTCGGCTAAAATAACGATCGGTTATTTGAAAATAAATTTTGTTTGGGTTTCGAAACTCGGTGCCACGGCGGTCCGGTTCCCGTGCAGTAATTAAAACGCGAGCTTTCGAAAAATAAAAATGAAGTACATAATATTCAACAAAACGCGTTACCTGCGACGAAGGTCCGGCCCCGAGGACGCCCGCCTTACCGGCGACGAACGCGGCGTCGCTGCTGCTTCGGTTGACGGCTTCGGCGTCCTGCCGCCGACACCGTTCGGCGTGTTCAGCCAAGCACGCCACGTACGCGATGGCGTGCGGCAGGAACGACTGGTCGAAAGTGCCGGAGAACAGGGCTTGCGTGATGCCTGGTGGCCCGGCCGCGTAGACGGGCACGTCTTCGCCGCCGTGCGTGGCCCACTGTCGGGGCACCGCGGCCCCGTGCAACCTGTTGTGTGTCTCCGCGTCCGAGGCGTTCATCATGGGCACCAACCGGTGTTCGGCGCTGTGTCCTGGCCCGTTACCGTAGAGCAGCGTGCTGTACGGCAACCCGTCCACGTCCGACGACTTGGTGTCCACGCCTGTGGAAAAAAAAACATACAATAGGTTTGCCGATAAATTAATAAGTCAAAAGAATCCGTGTAAAAGACCCAAGTCACCGTTCGCAGACACACAGACACACAGACACACAGACACACAGACACACAGACACATACACAATTTGGGAAAGTGGACCTTAAAATCATATATATATATATATATCAATACGGAAAGATCTTACTGCAGCGGATAACTGTAATAACGCGGGATGGAAAAGTGCGAATAAGTAGTACTATTAGTACCAAATGGAACTACAATTAATGTACTTGAAGGGTTGCTGATGTTTAACATAGGATTGTTGATGTGGAGAGAGAGGAGGAGAGTTTTGACCGGAACACATAACTAGAAAAAATGTCTTACATCTTGTTTGCAAATTAATTCGATTTAGATCTTTGTCTCAATACAATTGCCACGTATGTATATTGTATTGCCGCGTGCGTATGATTTGATACGTATTGGCACGAAAATAAATTAATAACCTACATTATTTTTTTTCGAAAAAGTCATCGATGACTAAACATATAGGTACCTTTTTAGAGTCAGGATAAATTAAATTACAATACGAAATACAACTGCTATAGGCATTATTATGACAACTGAAAAAAGAGAATAATATTATAAAGTATCTAATATTTTTACTCTTTAGATAAATAATTTGAGAATGATTATATTGTTTTTGTTTAATGTTTGAATTTTATCAAAATAAATATAATTTATATGAAATTATGATTGGGGTAATAATATTTACTTTATAGTTCTTGTAAGTATGTACTGTATCGTTCAATACTAGATGCATTGATGTGTTTAATATAATGCATAATTTTTATTTTTTTAGTATTTTCAATAACAAAATATAAAAAAGTAAGCAATGTCTGAAAATACTAATGAAAATAGGTACTTTGAAAATTTTAAATGCTTTTTACAGAAAGCATTTGAAATGTATTTAAAATACAAAAAGAAAATCATACTTAAACACTTAATGTAGCGGTTACCTACTTTTTTAGTTGTGTGGATTACTAATTTTGAAAAAAAATCTTTGAGGCCCACTAATAGTACAGCGATAAATGTATGCTTATTTTTTACATATATCTAATATGCTAATTATTAGAAATAAAAGAATAAAAAAAACAAATTTAATCAAAAAAAAAAAAAAAAATTATTCAACTTAATCACAAGTAAAACAATTTAATGTGATTTTTAACATTGCTTGCTCCTCCCTCCACGATAAGGTTTATTAAGATATAGATTAAATCTGGATAGTTTTAGTTTCAAATGACTCTCAACATTCAGTTAATTCATATATTTATTAAAAAAAAAAAAATTAAAGAAGATAAAGCTCGTTTACTCAGATAGGCTGTCGAAAAGCCCATCAATTTTCTAGACGTGTAAATATTATAATATAATATATGCGTATGTATTTTTGTTTGAATAAAACGATGAAAATTGTACTTAATGGAAACGCATGACATCAAAAGTTAAATCTAAGACAGTTTCCAATTCTTTTAAATTTAAATAAAGTAAAGTCATATGTAATTTTTCAATACCAACGATTTTACCTACTGAAAAAAAATGTTTTTTTGTCCAAGGTATGTTTTAAACGGTTTTCAATATGCGTGGATATTATTTTAAGAGTTGAATACTAAACGGTACTTTCTTTAAACGATAAAAAACTAAATGAAAATTGTGTTCTATAATATTTCTGATTTTCAACAATTATTATTATTAATGAGAAAAATATAATATGAAACTTGATGTTGTTTAAAGAAACGTCTTGTTTAATTTATAAGAACAAATTAAAGTTCTGTCATCAGAACAATGACACAATTAGATAAATTATTTTTACAATTAAAATCATAATAGCCATAAAGGTGTTATATTTAAAGAACGAATGTAATTTTTTAACAACAAATGTACAAAAGAGAGTAATATAATACATTCTATTTAAAACTTTAGTCTTATACTCGTAAGTATCTATAATTTAAAATATTTGCTTGATAAATTAATTTATAAACTGTGATTTCTATGAAGTTAGTAGTTAAAAATGAATCAGTTTTTAAATTGTTTAGAAATTTTTAAAATTAATATTTAGAAATAAATTGGTTAAAAATGTACAATACAATTTTTATTACAAATATAAAAATTTATTTTGTTACAATATTTTTTTTTAATAATATACCTACTGGTTACTTATATTAATTATTATAAGTAAATATAAAAAACAAAAAAACGATACGGATGCAATTAAAGTATTAAATATTAACAAAGCTTAAAAGTATTATGCTTTCTATAAAAAACATAGATATTATATTATGTTTAATGCTATTTTTATTATTTTTATGTAAAAAAATCCAAGGATTAAAAATATTCTTTGATATAGTATTATATTTTCTTTTATACAATACTAACTGATCATATAGTTTTCCTGTATTTATATAAGTATGCTTAAAATGTAAAAAATTATAAATAATTAAAAATATAGGTGTCTACAATAATATAACTATATATTTTAATTAATTTAACATTTCAAAAAAAAAAAAAAAATAAATTGAAATAAAAGCAACTATGACTTAACACAAATATCAACTAATGTTTTAAACAAATATTCTATTTACAATGCGTTTCATATTGAAATTATTTTCTCATTTAAAGTTGGGCTCATACAAATTTATTCGAATTTCGTGTTGTAAGTTGTATATTGTAATTTGAAGTTTTTAAATGTATTATATTTAGCTTAGCTATGTATAACTTAGCTGATTCTTAGAAATATTCTACTAAAATTCGTGTTGACTTAAATAAAATAAAAATTTGAACCAATAAAAATATTTGATGAAAATAAATGAATTTATCATTCATTTATGAATTACGTAAAAAAAAAAAATAGAACACAGTTTTGTGTAAGTTTTGGGTTTTCTCAATATTTTTTTCTTGATTATTAAGTAAGTACTGGGAATTTTTTACTTTTGATCCCCTAAAGTATTAACTTAATTCACTTTCTAACTGCGCTGAAGTGAAAATCAAAGCATTTTTTTTTAATTATAAAAACTGTTTATAAATAAAAAAAAAAAAGAAAAAAACACACATCATTATAAAATTTATAAATTCTTCATTTCACTACCTAATAGTTTAAAATATTAATGAAGAATATTACGAATAGAAGTTCAATTGATTAAGGAATAGACAAACGGATCTATATAGAATTATTTTTAATCGCCGATAAATAACAATTACAGTTTATTGAACTTAAAAAATTAAAACTATTATTTATCAAGTTTATAAAAATATTATATTCATTAGTTATAAGTAAAATTAATCTGAGTGGAATTCATCGTTAGTCTTTTGTGCTTAATTTTAATTAGATTAATAGATACTTATATTGCAACTGAAATAAATTATTTTAATCCAACTATTGTAATAGTTCATACATTTGATGTAAGACAAGCATTTAAAATTTATTATTCATACTAAATTTATCACAATTAAGTATGAGTACAACTAATTTTTAATTAAAATAAAGGTGGGCAAGTGGACATACTTTTTCAAACAGAAGGAATCTAGTGTACCTAACTCGTTGTTGAGGAATAAGTCACTGTTATGTAAGTATTAAATTTGAATTGAATGAAAAAAAAAACAATTTTAGCAGAGTCGGTAGAGAGTGAGTTCTTTACACGGTCCGTTATTTTAGAGACCGGACCGGACTTCAAATTTGAACAAGAGACCGAATTCAGACCGGAGCACACTTAAAAGTTAAACAGAAGACCAAATTTGGACTAAACCCATGGCTACATATTATTTATAAGTCGGGTTGGACCAATAATTAAATTTAATCGAATAGAGTAGACTGGGACTAGACTGCTGGTTCAATTTTAAAACATTTTGGACCGGACCGTAAATTTAAACCAATATTAATCCTGATCAGACTATACGATTCTAATACTCGGTATAATGTTGAATTTCCTGAGATTACGTGTTATGATTTATGAATTCTACGAATAAAAATAAAATTATATCCTTTGACCTTCATGTCTGACGGGTGGTAACCGATGATATTTACGGACAACCGAAAATTTATTAATCAATGCAATTAATTTATATATAAATATTTACCAATAGTTGTGGGTTTTTATTTGACGTTTTTTGTTTTATTTGTATTACATAACAATATCTTATTTAGATTTTAGGTACCGTGATTGAGACCGGACCGATCTAATTTTCATTTTTTTTTTTTTTTTTTTTTTTTGAAACCGGACCGGACTGATAATAATGCATTTTATCTGAGGACTAGACAGAATTACTCCTAAAAAATATTAACTAGACCAAACTGACGATTCAATAGTTTTTGTATGTTAGGACCGGATTGATTAAAACCGGACCATGCAAAGCATTAAGAAGAGCCTAATAGAGTCTATAATCCTTAGAATATTGTATTATGTATATATAGCATTATTAAGCAAAGCAGGCATTAACGATTTTAATAAGTTAAAAGTTAAGTTATTTTTATAACTTAACTTACTAATTTAACATTTTAATTAACTTAACTTCAATTAAACTAATTTACCTATACGCTAATTTAAAATCAACTAATATTATATTATTTTCAATAATCCAAAATAAGTTAATTAAACAATTTTTACTATGCAGAAAAATCGTATGTTCATAACTGCTTATATTAATGAGTTCATATTATAAATCATTGGATTATAGTATGAAATATTCATAAAGAATTTCGTGGTTATATTTATTGACAATAATTTATTTGTCATAATATTAATAGTAATAATATAAGAGAAACATTAAATACATTAATTAATAGCTATCTGCCTGAAAATTATATTCATGATAGTATGATACCTATTTACTAGTAATTAATACGATTACCATAAATTATGGCCATTTAAATTTATATAATAAACTTATTATAATAATAAAGTTATTTATTTTAGAATATTATACATGAATACAGTTTTTTTATTTCTCGCTTTTT